AAATTTTTACGTGGTTCGGCAAACTGCCTACGTCCACGGGGCAAGGAGGGGGAGATCTACTATTAGAGGGAGAGATACAACTGGGGTTTACAATCTCACAATCTAAACCCTCTCACAAACTCTCAGATCCCTCACACAAAATCTCTCTCAAAAAGGATGCCAAAACCCTAAAAAATGGCTACACAAAACCCTAGACAACAGCCAACTCAGCCTCTGTCGAATTTCCCTTATTCACGCCGAAAAATCTTTCACGCTGCCGAAATCCACGCCGCCAAGTCTCTGCGTTGAACTGTAGCCGCTCCTTTTGCTCCTGCCTTTTCCCAGCCTTGCACGCCCAAGTCCTTTGCTTTTTCTTCGTTGGCGGCTACGAAGAAAACTCCTGCCTTGCACCCCTTTGCCCTAGGAAACCACACCATTATTTATAGTGTGAAGATCGGGTGGGCCTGGCCTGCTAATCACGCGGAAACGAGGGGATGATTTCTCATTCGCTCATGTGGTGGCCCCCCCATCTTTTGCTGCCGCCAAAAGAACCCCCTCACTTCCTGCACGAAACCCTAGGAAATTCTCTCTTTTATAGGATGCTTCGGGTGGGCCTAGAACTTCTTCACGCGGAAAGAATTCTCACACGGAACTACATGAAGGTGGGCCCCTCAGGTGTAACTTCATTGCTGAAAACAAAATTCACACCGACTACACCAAATGCCTCACTTGCTGAGACCCAAATGGGAGTGCAAACACTCACCCCAAATGTCAATGTCGCTCACCAAATCGATCTCACCCCCATCAACTAATCCAAACCGGCTGCATCTGAAAGACTGCCTACGTATCCTCTTGCCCAAGGAATCAAGCCGAACGTAGTTCACCAAAATGGCCGCAAACGACCTCAATCTAATAGAAGAGTTCGCAACCCTTCTCCAATATCACCAACTCTGCGGCTGATAACACCTCCAATGACCTCAAACACCTCCACCTGAGACGAACCAATGGCCATATCCAGACTACAACTACCAGCTGCACTCGAATCAATCAACCGATCATCTGCATCCAAATCAACACGATTCCCTATCTGTGTCACATCAGCTGGAATCCCAAATGATGCAGTATGATCCGGAGTTTCCACCCAACGTGGAGTAGCATCACTCTCCACCCGCTGCGATGTCCTAAAGATCTGATCACCACTCTCCACCTGCCGAGAGTTAAATGTGACATACCTGCTCAGAACAAAGTCAGAAGCCAATACCTGATAATCAAACACGCCTCTGAATCCCAAATGTGCTATCGGATCAAATCTCACATCCACGATGTGACCAAGTGCTGGGTAGCCAAACATCCGACGCAACCCAAAATCTGAAACAGCTCCACCAGATCCAAAATCTCTACATGCAGCAGTCGGCAACCTATACATAAGATGGCCTAAACATGTCATAGCATGCACACCAATGCCAATGCTCGACATCAAATGTCGATCCTCCTCCAGAAAGGAACAAATCCCTGAATCTGCCATCTCATCACGTCGCCTCAAAGTTTCCAAACCAATGAAGTGTCTCCAATTGCTGTGAGCTCGGCACAAATGCAAAAATAGGTCCCTCTTGTACCTCCCTCTAACATCAGACTGAAGTACCTTCACCTTTCTGCCAATACACTTCCTCCATTTGTTGCGGGCTTCTAGGATTTCACACCAACGGGACTTGGTTGCAACCCACCAATGTCTAGAGCAATCCCCAACTGTGGAAACCACATACCTATTACCTCCCAATAATGCTCCCTTAGAAGGCCCCCGAATGCCTGAATAAACACCCCTCAGAAGACCCCTCGAATGATGGATAGAAGTGCCAAACTCCATCTCGGTCTTCTCGCTCATATCAATGGGTTCACAGGACTTCAAACTGCAGGTCATAGCACTCCTCAACAACCTATGCACGGCATTACCAATTAAATAACCCAGCATCAAACAACGCCACAGTCTAGCCGAATCTGATGAAGTCGTCATCTCCCTATCAATTGCCGTACTTCCGAGCAAATAATACAAATTTCTCCTTCTAACGCCCTTCATTACAATCATGGACCCCGATGTGACCTTCAAACGTGCATCCACCAAGGTCACTTTATAGCCAGATGCCACCAAAGCTCCTAGTGAAATGATGTTCTTCGACAACTGCGGAACGAACCTCACTTCATTCAACTCTCGCACCATCCCGTCACTCATCTTAATTCGAACGGTACCAATACCACCAATAGAGCATGCATGTCCATTACCCATGAGCACAACATCCTCTCTTTCCAACTTCTGAAAGCTGGAGAACCAATCCCTCCTAGGGCAAACATGGTATGAAGCACCCGAATCCAACATCCACTCTGTAGAGTTGGCAACACAAACTGACGGTAGTGCAGATAACGAATAGCCCGAAGAATTCGAATCTGAATTGTTGCCACTAGTCTTGACAACATTCACCTCTGGAGCTTGTACAGCTTTCCCCTTATTCTTCTTGGCTCGATCTAACTTTGGGCAATCGGCTTTCCAATATCCATCCTCTTTACAAAAGGCACATTGATTCCTATGAATCCCACGATGTGCACCTCTAGACCGCGACCTTCTGCTTCGGTTTGAACCACGGCCATGAACTACTAATGCATCTCCCGATGCCTTCTCGGAGGACTCAT